ATGAGAATAGGAATGTCGCTGAAATCGGAACTACCCAGCGATATGTCGCGTCCCCTCGAAAAGTTGCACGCTCCGGCGTATGAGACGATAATCCAAAAATATCTCATCTTCTAAGGCATGGCTCAGTGGACTTCGCAAAGGATACTCAAGTTCCATCGACCTTGTGTCTCCTCTCCTCGAATGCCAATTCTTCAAAATGCGGTATCCTTCAAAATCATACTGGACAAGGGCCATGGGCGAGACTTTCGTTCTTTTCGCGCTGAATATCGGTAGAATTTGTTTATGGCACGTCAAAAACGGTGTATAGGTGTTGCATGTGTGTGTGCTCGGCGGTGCTATCGAAGTGCAACAAATACAGCCCGGCATCGTGACACCTCAAATATGCACCACCGCGGCGAATATACCAGCCGCCGGTGTTGTCTTTCTCGTTTTCTCTTATGACTGTCACGTGCAAATGGGGCTTGGCTGATGTGTAAATACCTCCTTCCGGCTGCCGACCTTCTGATTTCTTCATTACACATCTTTCTCCCTGCTTTACTAAAACGATTATGATACATTGCTATGGCTCCGCCTTCTCTGGTTCTGACAGCCTTCCCGAAAATATCACATTTCAACATGCATGGACTTGCTGCGGTCCCAAAAAACATCAATACACCGCTACATGAACCAACCCACGCAAACACTAAGTCATGCCGCGTTACTGCGAAGTGTCGGCAGACTGTGTATAAAGCCTTCCCCTGGCACTGCTGTTCGCTTTCTCGCTCACACACTCCTCGTGAATGGTTTCCCAAAAGCCTCAACATGAGACCCAATGTTTTGAGGATCTGCAGTTTCTTCAACAATACTTAAATCAAAATGGCGAAATCCCATGGCTGTGTCCCTGTGGTGGACAAGATATGAAAGCGGTCAGTACCTCTTCCATGCTGCTTCTGTGTTGAAACACCAAAACAATAAGATACAACCTCCCATGGGCTTCGAAGCCGTTGTCTGCACCTTGCTTCATGAGCGCAATGAGTTCGCAATGGCCATGTTCAACCCTCCCAAGGCCTTTAAACATGTCGGAGTTCCGGCGCATCAGTCTCTCGACAATCATTGCGTCAAAAGTAGAGGCTACTCCAAAAATGAACAGCCCAGCATCATCATGAAAAGAGTCGTGGAGATGTTGGCATTGGCCATGACGCGGTGGGAAGGCGGGGTCGCTAGCGTCTAAGCACTATATAAACCCCGCGATCTGGGTGACCTTCTTCATCATCACACTGCTCTTCTATCTTACCAAAGAACGTGGTTACAAACCAATGTCTGGCGTCTTCTGAGCAGCTTTTAACATATTTCAAAACACTTACAGACCTTTTTGATGTGTCGAGCATCGCCTGGCAGCATGGGATGTTGAGCTTTGCATTCGACATGCATTCCACTGATATCAAAACTGCATATAAGACAACCATGTAGCAGACCGACGAGAGAGCCTCACTCCGCTAGTTTCCAAAATGTTTATCTTTGGGTTTGGATGGGCCCGTCGGCTCTGCCGCCTCTGCTATAAGACATCTGCTTCGTCCTCCTCTTCTAAAGCATTAGAAACACGCAAACCTCAAAAAACACGTCCAAAAGTTCCATATGTGTTGAAAGCTTTTGGAATTCTACAATTACTGAGCAAATGAGAAAGAGTGGCATGCTCTGAGAATGAAAAGTCGTCACGAATATCGAATGGACTGATCTCCTCTCGAGCGGCGAAATCGGTGGAGAGAGAAGCTATATCGAAAGCACAAAACAACCGGCAGATGAGCGACCTCCGAGGTTTTCTCTCACTATCCATACTTCAACTGGCATTGACACCGAATTCAACGTTCGTGGATGTCATGAATTGGCTATCACGAAGTCGCTGTGCACATGCTTGTGTAAACCCTTGGATATGTTTGAACAACTGGAAAGCTAGACGCAAGCTCCAAATGAACTGGCGTCGGTGCTGAGCAGATATAAAAGCTACTCCTTCTGCTCTTCTTCCTTAACCATTCAATCCGCTCATTTCTAAAATCAAAAGTTTTGTGCGTCATACGTATGTCTGATCTCTGCGAGAGCGAGCACCAAAACTATTTCATTCAATTAATATGTCTTCTCCTCCTGTTCTTCTTCCCCTATCCTTCTCGGCATAAATGATACAAACCCGCGAGAGACACGTGACATGCTGTCTGAGTCTGTCCGAAGCCACACAGAAAATGCACGGACAACAATAGGATGTCCAGCAGTCCGCGAGCTTTACTTCCATGACTTTTCCCCCGGGTCTCTCCGGGTAGACCGAAAATCACAACATGACCGCCTCATGTCCTCCTGGGCTTCCAGTCCGCATTCCATCTATCGAATTTGAGCAATGTCATCTCCATGTTGTTTGACTCCAAAAATAAACGGCAAGCAGAGCATGCTGCTTCTCTCGTAGATCGTCCACATTTTTAGCCCATCAAAAGGGTCATTTGGCTTTGACATGAGCGTGCTGCTCTTCTTCCGACTCAAATTCGCAACAGGGACTTCCATGAAAATACACGATACCTACACCTATGTTTGCCGTCCAGGTTGAAAAGCCACTTTATTTCCATCACCACTGATATGGATTGAACAGTGATGAGCTGGTCGTAATACCTTGCCCAGTGTCAACGTCTACAGTCACGTGTTACCCAAGTACCAGCGACCGCCAAGATGTCACTAGTCCCGAGGGTATAAAATGCTGAGGAAGCTGCGAACTTTCTCTATACTCAAAGCATACTTCATCTTACCAAAACCGCCGGAGCCGTGGTCTATGTCGTCCGGTCCAAAAACGTTCGCTTCTACAAAGCGATGTCTGCTCCTGCGATCACCCCCCAAAAAGACCCACATGTTTGCGGCCTGTGTTCAAAAGCTTTGGACAGCTAGACGCATGGTCTGTTCCGGCTGAATGCCAATCTTGCATGCGAGAAAGCAGTCTTTGGCTCGAGACATGAAAGCAGTGGAACGTTCGAGCTTGTCTCTATTGAAATCCTACTCCAATTGATTAAAATGGGCATCCTAACCTCTCATGTCGTTCGGTTCAAAAAGCACGACTGCAGAGGACATGCCGGTTTCTACCATCTACTAAAAAACATGATACCTTTTGTAAATGTGTCCAAAGATTTATATCGGCAAATAAATGCCTCCTTCCAGACAGTCCTCCTCTCTGCTATACCACGTGACAGCGTGGGACAGAGGTCACAAAGTGCGGTAGAACCTGCGAGCTTCTTCTCTCCTAAAGCCTCCTCTTTTTTACAAAAATTACGAAGACGACGGCGCCATGTCGTTCGGTTCAAAACACAAGCTCTAACATTCATGGCTGCTTCTCCGTTCGACTTCCGAAACCACAGTAGCCTCCATTTACGGGTTGCAGTATCCAAAATAGGCATCTGAACGCGCCATGTTTGCTTCGGACAGTCTTCCATTTTTTGACACCAGGAGATAGTCTCGTTCTGGGGATATAAAACGCCGTGCAAGCTGCAAGCTTTCTCCCTTCTGAAACATTCCTCCCACATACCAAAACGGGCACCAAATGGTCACATGTCTCTCGGTCCAAAACTCTTGTTCGACCACCTCATGGCTGCTCTTCCCTTCGACTCCCAGAACAACAACGGTTCTCCCAATGTCGAACATACCCAGAAACACTACAGCAGCACACAAATGTCTGTTTCTGGGGTTCTCCGGCCTTCTACACCGAAATGACTCTGTTACGGACAAAATCTGGTTGGAAGAGATATATGACTGTCTGTTGGACTGCATCTACTTCATCAAACCTCTTGTCGCCTTTTCCCATGGTGCTGAGACGATTCAAAATCGTATCAAGCGATGCTATGAGAGAGGTCGGAGAAAGAGAGGAATTGAAAGAGAATCAGAATATAATCATGTTGGAAAGACGAACTTCCTGGAAGCATCAAACAAGTTTCTTCACCCACGCATGAGAGAGCAATGCTCGAGCTGCATAAACATACCGAAACAAAAGACATGCTCCTGGCGAAGCATTGGAACGTGTATAAATACCGCTCTTGGGTCTGTCTTTCTCTTCTCTGCAACACCTCCGACCTTGAAGTCTGAAAAGGCGTGGATACCTTGCTATGTGTTTGTCCGTCTTTCTGGGGCGTTCTCCAAAACAGATTCTTGAGTTCATGATGGAGTGCGCTGTTTGCGCTGTTCATAATTCACGACTAGAAGCCTATAGTCCTGACACAGGGCTAAGGCCATGTATAAAGTACCGCTCTCGGGTCTGCCATTCTCTTCTCTACAACACCTCCAACTATGGACTCCAAAAATCGAGATAAAAAGGACAAATGGCTTCGGCTCTGCTCTTTGTTCCCTCGATCATTCTCTAAAAGTTATCATTAACAATCTATGAAGTGCGCTGCTCGCGCTGTTCAAACTACACAAACAGAAAATCATGTTCCTGACACAGGGCTGAGGACGTGTACAAATACTCCTCGAATTTCTGTCTTTCCCTTCTCTACAACACTTCCAGTCCTGGGGTCCAAAAAGAAGAAGATAAAATTCAATGACTTCGGCTCCGCTCTTTTTCCCTAGATTGTTATTCAAAACTCTGGATCAACAATTTCATGGAGTGCGCCAGTCTTGTTTTCGAAACAATGCAAAAAGAAACGTATGTTCTTGGCGTAGGACTGGGACTTGTATAAATACCCCTTGGGGTTCTTGTTCTATTCTTCTTTCCAACACCTCCAGTCTTGGAGTCCAAAAGACAGGGCTGGGAAAGACCCATGACTTCGGGTCTGCTCTTTCTTCCTTGTTATTCTCCAAAAAGCGTGGATGACGACCATATGGCGTGCGCTGCTCGTTCGCGGCAATGCTGATTGAGATTTCTTAAGTGATGATGATGATCATCATCACCATCGTCAGCTCTCAAATGCCCCAACCACACGCCATCAAAACTTCCCTACTATCGTACACATGCAAACCACCCCACGACCCCACGACACACCACCCCTCCCATCTCAACTTCTTCATTTCCCCTTCGGCTTAACCTGAAAAAAACTACTCATCTTCTTCATCCCACTCGTATCCACCTTCTTCAGCGCCTTAACCCCCCTCCCCTCACTCTTCTTCTTGCGCTCCTCATCCTCCTTCTTCCGCTTCTTCTCCTCCCTTTCCGCAATCTTCTCTTCGTCTTCTTCAATCGCCCTCTTCCGGGATATGTTGTCTGATATGCTGCGTAGAGACAGCGCTTCGGATTTTAGAGCGGAGATGGCGGAGAGGTGGGTGTCGAGGGGTGTGAAGCGTGCGGAAAGGAGGGCGAGTAAGGGGTTGCGGAGGGATGGGGGCGTGTAGGAAGAGAGGAGGTAGGTTAGGGATGTGCGGAGGCGGAGGAGGTGGGGGATTTCTGTTGGGGTTGTGAGGGTGGGTTTTGAGGGGGCGTCGTCGGGGGTTGTGATGGTTGTTGTGACGCTTGTTTGCGAGTCGACTATTGTGCTGTTCTCTTTCTCCGCGTCTACGTCCGCGTCTGGCGTTGGTGACACGGTGGTCAGTGTGCTTTCCTCGCGTTTTATGCTCATGACAGGTATCTCCAGGGCTGTCTTGATGAACCTATCCTCCATCGACGGCGGAAGCCCCTTCTTCACCATGCGTTCGGCTTTTGAAAGGAGGACTTCTAGGAGCTTGGGGTGCGAAAGGCGGTACATGGACTCTTCGCCTGCGTCGACTGTGTCGCATATCCTTCGCATCTTAGTTTCTATCATAGTCTTGAGGGTGGTATATTGCGATAACAGCGCTTTCCAGTGTGGCGACGAAGAGGAGAGTGCGTCAAGGTAGTCATCGAAGGCGAGGAAATGTTGCTTCGTGTCTTTTGCTGACTTTGGTGTGAGGGCGGGGAGGATGAGGAACAGGATGTCGATCGGTGTTGCGATGAAGAGGTCGGCAGATTTGGTGATGTAGCCGCTGCCTATCCGTGAGGTGTCTGTCTCTTCTGTAGCGTCATCCTCGCTCTTCTCTCCTGTTATCAACCAACTCTTGAAGTCTCTCTTCGGCGCAGCGATGCGCGTGAACTCGTAGAAGCCTTTCTGGGGGCAGAAGAAGTATCGTGATGGTGTATCGTTTGCGGGGTTGTCGAGGCTGACTATGCGCGCGTCTTTGGATGTGTCTTTTGGCAGAACGAACAGCTTCGGGGGGTTCGACGTGCTTGCGGGCAGCGGTTTGGCTGTGGTGGTGGGTTCGGGCGTGGCTTCTTTGGGCGCGGCCTTTGCGGGTTTTGAACGTGTGCGTGCCATTGCGAGGTGTCTGCTGGTGTAATTGGGCATATACAGTATCGAATGTGGTGTCTCGAATTCGTGGTGGAATCGGAGTTCAGGCGCGTCGCGTGGGCGCAACCTTACACGCGCAATCCCTGTCACGTCACGGTTTCGGATTAGATTAGTCTGGGGTGAACCACAGTCCGGTGTCAACAAACGCTACGGGGCCGGGCTATGCGCTTGTGAGTCCTGCCTGACGATCGACTGTTTCCCATCTTGCTTTTCCCGCTTTCCAGTATTGGCGTTGCTATGGGCCACTGCGAGATAGCGCATTCGATATTGCACCATCACAACAATGATCGTGCGGGAGAGCCCCAAGTCAAAAGGTAAGTCGCCTACAGTATGCGAAGGTGCCGGCATGCGCTGACTCTAGTGACAGTCAAGAACAACCAGCCCAACTGGCCCCCGCAGTCGCCCGTCGAAGCCCTTCTCAGCTCGCCGTCCGGCCGTAAGAGGTACGAGAGCCGCCGCCAGCGCGACTCCGCATCGCCATCCCCCTCGAAACGCCGTCCAATGTCGCGCGGAGGTGTGCCAGCGGGCAGTGACGGAGAGGAGGATGAGGAGACGCTCCAGCTGCAACTCCAGGCCATCGAGGCCAAGCTGAAGCTGAAGGCGCTGCAGAAGAAGAAGAATGAGTCCCAGGATCTGGATCGCAATGGAGCATCATCACGAGCGAGCATGGCCACCAGCATGCGCAGAATCGACCTGCCGCGGCCCGAGACCAGACAAGACACCGATGTCGAGGTACCGCGATCACCAGTCCGGATGCGACAGGCGCCAACCGAGCCGAAGAGTCCTGCGCGCGTTATGCTGGGCATAGACAAGGGACTCACAGCCCGCGATGTTAGTCTCAAGCGGCCAGGAAGTGCTGTTAGTGGGCGCACGTCGCGGCTGGGCTCATCAAAGGATGTCGAGCCGCCCAAGATCAAGTCCTTCAGTGAGCGCATCGCGGAGAGCAGGAACAAGGAGAAGGAGCGCGAAGAGAAGGAAGACAAGGCTGAGCAGAGACGGAGTAGGGGGTTTGGGCTGCAGAACATCGAAGCGCTGAAAGACCGGCCGTCGCTATCACGAACCAGCTCGTCTCAGAGTACCGACACCAAGACGTCGCGCGACATGCCTCCGCCGGCCCTCAGGAATCACAGCCGAACGCAAAGCTTACAGAACCGTACATTTGGTGGTCCGCCAACTCCAAGACCAGGCTCCACATTATCCTTCAGGCCTGAGAGTTCACGCCCGACCTCTTCCTCTTCCAAGGCCACGTCTAGCAGCTTTGGCTCAACACCGACCGCCACAAAGTACGCCGACATCTCCTCACGCGACGAAAGCGCCGATGCTCCTAGTTTCGAATCGTTCTCTGGTCTCCACCTCAAGTCGAGAGAAATGCAACACAATGTGGTCACCCGTACACTAGAAGGCAAGACGGTCCTCACTATACCTCAACTCTTGAAGACCGTCAAGGCGCCAGAGTATGATCCACCGGATTGGGAGAACGACTACGTTGTTCTTGGGGTCATCTGCTCAAAGTCGACACCACAAAACTCCAAGAACGCCGCGAAGGACCAGACCAAAGGCAACCAGGATAAGAACCTTGACCAGAACGGCAAGTTCATGGTTATCCGTCTGACAGATCTCAAATGGGAGCTCGATCTCTTCCTGTTCGACACTGGCTTCTCGCAGTTCTGGAAACTGCCTCTCGGCACACTTGTTGCTATCCTAAACCCGGACATCATGCCACCACGGAATCGCGACACCGGCAAGTTCTCACTGAAGTTATCAAGTTCAGACGACACCATACTAGAACTTGGCACCGCGCGAGATCTAGATTTCTGCCATGCACAACGGAAAGACGGCAAAGAGTGTGGTCAGTGGATCGACGGTCGCAAGACTGAGTTCTGCGAATTTCACATCCAACTCCAGGTTGACAAGGCTAGGAAGGGCCGCATGCAAGTCAACACCATGACCGGGTTTGGTGGAGGACCAGGCGGCGGCATGTTTGGCCGACGCGGTGGCCCGAAGGGTGATGAACTCAAGAGAGAAGGCAAGTATCACGACCGCGAACTCCACGAAACCGTCTACATCGCTCCACGACCCGGCGGCGCAGCCAAGCTCATCGATCGCGACCACCAAAACTGGGAAGGCGGAGCAGGCCGAGAAGATCGCTTCCGCAAGCAACTCGCCGAAAAGGAGAAGGAAAGGGAACTAGCAAAGAAGCTGGGCACGATGGGAGATGGCAGCACCGGAGGCGACTACATGAAGCTCAAGGGCGCTGGTACCCAGAACCTCCCCGCAAGAGGCTACACATCGTCGCAAGGTTCCTCAGGCGCAAAGCCCGACAAACCCGCCGACGTGGACTTTACCAGTCTACTCAACCGTACGTCAGCCGATGTTTCTTTGGCGCCTGTTAAACGTAAACGCACAGCATCGGCGAAATCATCCAATTCAAGCGACCCAGTCGGCTGGGGCTTCAAGTACGGTCGTATCCCATCACCGAAGAAGGACACTTCTTTCCCTTCTGCATTCCGCGGTACACGCGAAGCCAGTCCAGCGAAGAAGAAGGCGCGTCTCTTATTAGCTGGAAAAGGCATCCGCGAGCCCGGACGCGAGAGTCTAGGCGGTCTCGACGCTGGTCTTATTGCTGCTATGGACGACGACGACGACGACGATTTGGAAGTTGTTTAATTCTTATTTGGAAAACACTAGGGGAGGTATACACAAAAAAACACGAAGGGGAGGGCGTTTGGGTCACAAAGCTCGCTGATTGGCTAGAGCTAAGCGAGCAACGGGGTGCATTTCGACTTTTCTGGGCTGATGGATACCGCAAGGCTTTAGCGTGGAGCGAAGCCGCATTAACGACTTTCCTTTTGTTTTTATCTTGTACAATATTATACCCGCTTTGTTACGCTGAATTGAGTACTGCGTTCACTTTACTAAGATTCTGAGACTGGATGAACGGAGAGAAGTGAAGGATTCCTAACTATACCAACGACGCACGTGCGACCACATCACCGAGGGAAAGAGCAGGACCACCAACTTCCAAACTCAGAACACGCCAACATGGCGGCCCCAGACTCTGATTCCACAGACAACAAAATCTACGCCCTCATAAACTACGAAGACCCCTACGTCCAACCCCTCATCCTATCCGCCCTCGAAAAGCGCTTACCAAACTCATCTTACTCGCTAATATCCTCCATCTCCCGACTCCCCTCCCCCTCCTCCCGCCTCCTACAATGGGTGCAATACGAATCTATCGACTTCGACCACCTCATGGAACAGTCCTCTAGTAGTCTCGCCAACGCCTACATAATCCGCAAAGCCCTAATCCGGAAACACTACCTCAGCACCACCATCGCGAATTGGATAACCAAATACCCGGATAGCGTACTCAAGAAACATGTCAAGCCGAGTGTGGAGTTTGAAGTCGATTATGCGGAGTTTCTGGATGATGCATTGGTTGAGGCGTGGGAGTTGAAGGAGAGTTGGGGGAGGAATGAAAGTTTAAGGGAGGGGGATGGGGAGGGGGATGGGAAGGAGAAGAGGGAATGGTGGATTCTGAAACCGGGGATGAGTGAGAGGGGGCAGGGGATTAGGCTGTTTAGTAGTGAGGAGGAACTGGTGGGGATTTTTGAGGAGTGGGATCCTGAGAGTGATGATGAGGATGAGGAGGATGCGAGAAGTGATGCCGGCGCCAACAGCAGCCTCAGCATCGGCGAGCAGCGCAAAGACGAGAAAGAGAAAGAAGAGGGAAACGGCATCATAACATCCCAACTCCGCCACTTCATCGCACAACCCTATATCCACCCCCCTTTACTCCTCACCCCTCCTTCCACATCCACCCCCTCCCCTTCCTCACCCTCTCCGCTCCGCAAATTCCACATCCGCACCTACGTCCTCGCCACATCCGCCCTCCAAGTCTACGTCTACCGCCCCATGCTCGCCCTCTTCGCCGCACGACCCTACGTCCCTCCGTGGGACGACGTGTTACAAACCGACCGCGACGAAGCTATGCGCGCGCACCTGACGAATACGTGTTTACAAGAGTCAGGGGATAGGGAGGGCAGTGTGGGGTTATTCTGGGATCTCCCCTCCTCCCTGCCCTCCCAGCCCGACCTCGGGTCCGTCAAACTTGAGAGTAAACCGGACTGGAAGGACAAAGTCTTCTCGCAGATCAAGGAAACGACGGGTGCGACGTTTGAAGCTGCGGCGAGGGGCATGTCGATACATTTCCAGCCTCTACCCAACAGTTTCGAAATCTTTGGCTTGGATTTCATGGTGGGCATTGAGGAGGATGGGGGACTGAACACGTATCTGTTGGAGGTGAATGCGTTTCCGGATTTCAGGCAGACGGGGAGCGAGTTGAGTGGCATGATTGAGGGGCTTTTTGAGGGGGTGGTGAATAGGGCGGTTGTGCCATTCTTTGGGGTGGAGGGAGAGGGAGGGGAGCGGGAGGATGGGATGGTCAAGGTGTTGGACATTGATCTGGGACGGCGTTGAGAGAGGACATCTTGTGGAGAGACGGGACAGCATAGCATGTTCACGACGAATAAGTTTGGTCAGAGTTATCACTCGTATTTTCCTTGATCTATACTACGTTCCCTTCCATGTCCTCCATTTACCATCGATTCAACCGCTGAGCACCGTACACCAGCTCGGTGTCTGTTCATCGAGACGCCCAGATACCAAGCAACTGCATACCGTGATCCCGCAGTCAAATCCGTATTCCCTACTTACTAACTAAGTTACTCTGGCCAACGCACATATGCGTGCTGTCCAGTAAATGCCCCAGAGAAAACACCGATTACAATGCCCTCTTAGCAAAGAAAGGTGTCCACTACCCTTCAGTACCAAACAAACATTAAAGGCCGTCAGTAATGCGAACCTTTTCGTAATGTAATCGTGGGTATCCTGATCCTGTTCCTCGACTCGCATAGGTCGAAGAACACAAAAAGCAAACGCTCGCTATGCAAACAATCAGTCACAAAGGACCTGATGCAAAAGGGGAGTTGGGAACGCTTGGTGATAGTATCTCAACACAAGCTACGATGAAGACTTGTTCAAGACGAACGGGCTGAAGGCCGTTAGATGTTGTCAATTGACATGGATGAGGTAGAGTGCTCACTGCGAGCCCGCTTGTCTGCTGCCTCGCGCTCGAGCGGCTCACCGCTGCGCTTCTTGGATGTCTTGGTGGAGCTGCTGGAGCTGTGCGCTGACTTGACACGCGACCATGAATCAAACGAGATCTCTGTTACTGTATAAGCGGGGGTTTCACTGGCGAAGGTTGAAGAGACTTACCCTTCTTGAGCTTGCGGGTCGTAGGCGGCGGCGATGTGAGCAGCGATGGTGTTGGGACGGCGTTCTTGCCCTTCTTGCGGCTCGGAGTCGCGACGGACGCATCGATGTCGGTGGTCGCCTCCTCGTCGTCGGTCTCAACACCGTTGGCGCGGTCGCGCTCTTTGATCTCTGCTTGGAACAGAAGACGGGGTTTGATAGACGAACGGGTAAGCGGGCGACGGGCTTCATAACCAATCTGGCGGCGGACTTGCTTGTCATCGGCGGAGAGGTCGTCGTCTTCCTCTGCCGCTGAGGCGCCGGAGGGTGCGTCGTCATGGAACTTGCGGAAGACCTTGCGGCCCCGGAAGATGTACACCATGCCTTCGTCACGATCGACAGCCGCCTCCATCTTGGCTGTCTTTCGGTCGACCACCTTCTTTGACTTTTGAGGAGCAGCCTTTGCCTTGCCCTTGCCCTTGACGGTGATGAATGGGTTGTCTTCAGTCTGGGCACCGGGAGTGGGTACGCGCTCCTTGGAGTCGGTGTAGATGGGGATCTTTTCGGTGTTCTCGTCCATCTGCTGGGCGAAGCTCTCTAGAGTGTAGAGGTTCTTGGTCTTGCGGCCCTTGCGCGGGGTCGGCATGGCTTCGTCGATGGTTGAAGGCCGGTTGGCGGGGAACAACACGCGCGCGGTCGAGCTGACGTCTTCGATGCGACGCTTGCGCGGCGTCTTTGCGGGAGTGGGGAGCATACCCTGTGGAGAAGTTAGCATGTTGGGTTGTATTAGGTGCGGAGGCCGTCCGGCACTCGACGCGGTTGTTTGTCAACCGCATCGGGCCCAGGCGGTCACCTCAGGTAACATACAGGAGCCATGTTCGCAAACAAGGTGCGCCGGGACGAGCTTGGTGCAGCCGTGTCGGAGTCAGAGTCGAGCGGGTTGAGGTCCAAGGGCGCGCGACGGGTCGAGCGTGGGGAGCGGAGGTGTTGGTGTTGTGGGGATGCAGGCGACGACGGTGGTGAGAGTGCAAAGGAAGCGTTTGCGCGGGCTGCAGAACGCTTGGCGTGAGAAGAGGCCGTTGGCGTGATGTCGCGCCTGGTCCGTGGGCTTGACCGCTCCTGTTGGTGAGTGTGAGCGTCGTGCTGGGCGGCCACTCTGCGCGATCGGCGCGGTGAAAACGGCTCGTAGTTGTCTCCATACAGCGGCGCGGGCGGCGTGTGGACGCGACGGGGCGGGGACGGCGTGCGCTCCATGTTGGGTGGGATGATGCGGGTGTTTGTTTGGGATAGGGCAGTTGTGGTGTTGTTGTAGCAATACAGGGCGAATTGTGGGTATCCAAAATCAAAACAATGCCACAGCAAGCTCGATGTCGCAGGGCCTCAACGTTGGGATGACAATGGATGCAGTATCGATATGCGCGCAAGTGGAGATGGCGGTAGGGCTGGTGATGGTGAAGGTGAAGGACAAAGCCGGGTGGAGACAATGGGCTATGTCACGACGGGGAATGAAGGAAGTCGCGAGGTTGGGACGGCAGGCGCAGATGGCTGGTGCTCCTTCCTTGGCGCAACGCGGAACATCAACAAACCCCTGCTAACCGCTGGCCCCGCCAAACCAAATACGTCAAACACGCCAACGCTGTCAGTCGTTGAAACTCACCAAATCAATTCGTCTAGAAGAGTCCGACACAATACACAGCACCTTGAACACAGCATGGACCCGCCGAACCTGGGCGCGCTTGACCTCTCCGACTCGGACACGGACGCGTTGTTCGACACGCCCGCGGCACGCAAGACCAAGAAGCAGACAAAAGATGCGGACAATGACGCAGCAAAGACACGTTCAAAGGAGTCGCATTACACGACAGAAGAGGCGCGCGAGGCAGCATTGCGCAGGGAGTTGGAGAGCATACGAAACGTCAACAAGGTCATCGAGGGCGTAGTTGAGAGCCTGCAAAAGGCCAAGGACAACATGGCTGTAAGGGACAATAGTAGAACTACCGCAGTCTCTAGACTGACGATGAATAGACTGTATCACGCACCGTCCAGAACGCGTCTACCTTGCTCCAAACATGGACGCGCATACTTTCCCAAACAGAACATAATCAGCGTCTGATCTTGAACCCGCAATGGCAGGGTGCGTCGCAAGATTTGGTTGACATTGAGGAGGAAGAGGTACACCGCCAGCAGGCTGCACAACGTCGGGCGGCAGACGAGCAGGCGCGGAGAGAAGCTGCGGCTAGGAAGATAGAAGAGGATCGCAGAAAGGCTGAGGCGGCTCCCAGGGCAGGTACTCGAGGCAGAGGCAGGGGCGTCCGACCACGCGGTGCTTCGACATCGTCTACAGGGAACTATACCGGCGTAGGCGGACAGACCGGACGTGGTATCAGTCGCAGCGACTCACGAGGTCGAGCAGGCAGTGGCATTGGACGAGGGCTCCCGCGGGGACGGGGTAGAGGCTTGGGTTGATGGGATTGCACACACGCCTTCGCCTCACCTCGAACGCATACATGAAATACCCAATCGACATTCACACCTGCGTCGTATACTTTGCAATCTGGTGGTGTCGAGTGCTGAGGTCAGCATAATTTATCGCGCAATTTCGGAACGCCTCACTCAGTTTCTCTCATCTTACCATCCCGGGCATCCATAGCTTATCTTACCACGGCCTTTCCCCCCGAGCAACCGCGACACGAGACCTCAAATCCGTACCTGCAGCTCGATGCAGCTCACGGGCCGTTGGTGATGCGGATGCGCTTCTCAAAACGGCAAGGTCTGAGAACCCCACTTGTCGTCAGTTGGACCCCGCCGTACGTTTCTTGAGATCTTGCGACGATCCGGGGATTTAATAGACTCTGCTTTTCCTGCTCTTCGACCTGCTTTCTATTTCTCCTTCTCTTGCTTTTTATGATTCTGAACTTCTAGATCGCGCAATGGAGGTCCCGACAGCAACGTCGCTACGCGACGTTTACCCCGAAGACGCGCTCCCAGTCGAGACAAAGCGATGGGAGAGCCTACTAGCCAAGTTCAAGGACCTCTATGGCAAGCAAGCAGACTTCGTCGCCAGAAGTCCTGGACGCGTCAATATTATTGGCGAGGTAAATTATCTGCAAGCAGTCTATCACCTGTCGCTAATGATTGTAGCACATCGACTACTCCCTGTACGAGGTTCTGCCCATGGCCATTACCGCCGACTTCATCATGGCCGTAGCTGTGCGACCATCTGAAGAGAAGCCGCGCGTACGGATAGCCAACCTCAACTCTGAGAAATTCCCCACTCGCGAATTCGAGATTCCCGAGGGAGAGATCCCAATCGACGCTACCGAGCATGAGTGGACCAACTACTTCAAGTCTGGACTGAAGGGTGTTTCACAACTACTGCAAAAGAAGCGAGGAGAGTTCACATCCGTCGGCATGGACATTGTATGCGATGGCACAGTACCCAGTGGTGGCGGTCTATCGAGTTCCGCGTCCGTCGTCTGCACAAGCTCTTTGGCTGTGCTGGCTGCGAATGGTGAGGAGAAGATTGACAAGACCGAACTATGCGAGCTTGCGATTGTATCTGAGCGCGCAGTCGGTGTTAACTCTGGAGGGTGAGTCTTGCCTACCTTTTGCATCCCAAAGCTAACAAGTCGTAGTATGGATCAAGCAGCCTCCGTATTCTCCCTCCGCGGCTCAGCCCTATACGTATCGTTCAAGCCCAGCCTAAACTACACAAACATCGAGTTCCCCAAGTCCGACCCCGAACTGGTTTTCGTTACCGCCCAAAGTTTCGTTGCTGCCGACAAGCACGTCACAGCACCCGTATGCTACAACCTGCGCGTCGTAGAATGCACATTAGCAGCTGTCTTCCTAGCCAAAGCCTTCGGCTTAAAGAAAGAGCTTCCAACAGACTCCTCTCCCCTCGGCGTCAGCCTCCGCGGCTTCCACGACACCTACTTCGAAGACAAAGAGAGCGTCTCCGACAACACCAAGATCTCCGTTTCAGACTTCGAAACGCAACTCACGAAGCTAATCCAACACACCGAAGACTACCTGCCCCAAGAAGACGGCTACACGCGCGCACAAATCAGCGGGCTGCTGGGTATCTCAGAAGACGAATTGAACCAACGCTACATGTCCAAGTTCCCCGTGCGCGCCGAAAAGTTCATGCTCCGCCAGCGCGCTCTACACGTCTTCACAGAAGCCCTCCGCGTGATCAAATTCCGATCGCTACTTGCATCTCCCCC